ATCCAGGAGTGTTTGTATTTTAATTTTTATCAGTCATAAAGTCTGTTAATTATATTTTTAGTTTTCTGAGGCTTTTGTAACAGATTACCACAAATGTGGTGGCTTAAAGCAAGGTACATTTATCATCTTACAGTTCTGTAGTTTAGGAATCCCACCACAGGTCAGTGGGCTCACACGGAGGTATTGGCAGGGCTACTGTGTTTCTGCCCCCTCTAGAGGAGATCCTGCTCCCTGACCTTCCCCAGCTTCTAGAAGCCTGTCTTCTTGCAAAGACAGCATTGCCTCTCTTCAGCCATTCTCCTGTAGTCTTTGCTTCCTACACCCACAGCTAGGAGAGATTCTGCCCTTTTAAGGACCTTTGTGAATACATTGGGCTCCTGCAGACCATTTAGGAAAATCTTCCCCATCTCCAGATCTTTAATCACATCAGCCAAGTCGGTCCCTTTGCCAGGGATGCTAACATATTCCCCGTCTCCCAGGATTAGATGTGGACGTCTTGGAGGGCCATTTTTCAGTTTACCATACGCACACATGTTTATCTTGGCGTAGATGCTTTAAAACAGTCTGATCTACAAATAAAAGGGAATTTACCTAGGAAACAGCCAGGCAGACAGTCTGCATTTCTCTGCTAGTATGTTAGCTCCCCAGCTGTTAGCCTGTCTGCAAAAAAGATAAGAAATTTGGAGTTGGGGGCACACAGAACAGAATTAAAGCCAGTTTTGTATTTATGTTACGTATTTTATCTTATTATGTAACGCTCACTTTTTCTTGGAATGTACAAATTCATTAAACCCAGCAAATTGGCTTAGCAAGCACTTTACTGTTTAAATGTGAAGTCTTTTGCCCATGAGATATTAAAATAAGGATTGTTTTGGCATGACTAGATCTGTAGGTGAGAAAACTTAGAGCTAAAATATGTCTTAAATTATAGTATAATGTGGTTACTCTGTCCCTTTGATTAATAACAAATATGTATCGCTTGATTAGAAAAATGTCTAAGCTATATAATAGCGAGAGTATAGGGGTCCTGCATAATTATATTATGTGTTATGCTAAAGTTTTCATGTTTTTAAATTAGGTAGAGATTATATAATGTAAAGAAATCCTATTTAATGCACTGTTTTCTAACTGAAGATTTTCCTAATTTACTCCTTTTGAACCTTTTCACAAGCTTCCATAGTGACTGTAATACACCTTGTCAACGCTGTCGTTGACACGGTGGATGAAGAAGGTATAGTCACGATAAGTGTGCTGTGTGTTTGTGTTCATACTGACTGCCACTAGAATAGTGCTTTCGCCTGTTGTATGTAGTGTTATAAAAAAAGTCGTTTGTGGTTTTGACGGGCTTGAGTACTTCTGTGCAGGTGTGTATGTATATTCATAATCGAGGTACGTTACAAAGATATTCTGATGTGTGTTGCGTCTTTGTCTCTTTTTCCACTCACAGTGAATTTGTGTAGATACCAGAAATGACCCATAGGATCTTGACAACTTGGCTTTACATGACACAGGATTAAGAAGCTTAGAAGTCATTCTAGCTAAACACTTTTTTTTAAACCCTCTTCATAGGAATAACACTAACACACAGCTTTTATAATTACCTGAGTGTGATCAAGGATAATGATAGAACATGGCAGAAAGTAATTATTTTCATTATATGGTTTAGTGAAAATTAATATGAAGCTTTTATCTCTCTGTTCACAATTCTGTGAAAGGGCATTGATCTGCACCTAAAGTTACTTTAAATTAAATCAGCCCTTTGTTAATGCACTGAAATTTGAGTAATCACACGTAAATTGCACAGCCTAGTAGCTTTTAAACTGTAAATCCCATCCCCAGGAGGGTTTAGAATTTATCTTTTTATTACACCATCAAGAGTGCATTAGGCATAGGGGATCGTCTTTGGGAGGACATGTATGTTTTCAGGATTGAGTTGAGAAGGAAGGATGGTTTCGGGATAGGGCAGGCCAGGCCGAGGGTTGTACCTTCCTAAGAACAGGTACTGTGTCTTGGTCAATCAGAAAGTAATCTGTATTTTGTCTAGTGGATTTTAGTTATAAATATTGATGGAATTTTAAAAAGAACTTTAAAACCGTTCTTTCATGGGATCTCCTTCATTGAAAAATAATAGAAACTGTATTTAAAGTTGAATGCTTGAATTTTAAGAATCGAGTGCCTCTGGAGTCACAAAGGTTGTCAATCCTCTCAAAGAAATTACCACATTTTTAGTAGATTTTAAGAACAATTCTGTAGATACACATTGACTAAATACTGGCTTATTCATTTTTTAGAACCACCATGGTCGTTTCAGTTTTAGCTTTAAATTCCTGGAAGAGAACCATCAATCAATCAGATCCTGTTTGTTCCAAATTTATTACATGGGTTTTCAGGAACATTGTAGAATGCATGGAAAGCATTGGTTTTGTTCCGAAAAGCACTGCAGTGACCCTGTTTCTACCATGATTACTACTTTCCAAGAATGAGAATCACGACAATCCTAGGAGTTCGGGCTCGACCTACATTTTCTGATTTAATCCTCCTAATAAAGGGATTTCCACTCCCCTTTCAAATATAAGAACCTGAAGCTTAGCCAGGGTAAGCAACCTGCCCAGGGCCAAAGCCCTGACTGACGTGGGATTTACATCTTCTTTCCCGGTCTTCGTGCTGGAGTTCCGGTATGAGATGGGAGTTCTGAAGGAGCGAGCGGCCTTGCAGTGCTGGGCTGGGGACAGGAGTAAGCACAGCTCATGCTCTCTCCCAGGAGAAGGGGACAATGGGAATGTCAAGTCACATTCAGAATGGGCAAGGTTTGCAGAGAGTTTCTTCTAGCGATTCACAAGTCCCTACGTTGGTGAATTTGTCTGAACGTAACGTACATTTGAGCGCTGTAATGTGCTGTCAGGTGTGTCTTAGGTAGCTTTAGATGTATTTGGATTCTGTCATCATATTGCTCAGTATCATGAAGGTGTCATTTAAGTTCCTATTTACATTTAGTAGAGAGCCTTTAGACTTTAGACTAAATAATAATTTAATTATTTAACCTGTGCTTTCAGGTTCAGATTGCCAGAAAAAAAGGAAAAGAAAGTAAATTCATGTTTGAGTTCCCTGGCAAAGTTCCTCATCCCGATCTTTTCCTGTCCTCCCCTGTCCCGTTTCATTTGTGCTACGTACATTTCTCAGCCATTTGGAACTTCTGTAGATCATGGCTTAGAGGCCTGGTCCATGGCTGACTGGGCCTTGATAAACAGTTGGCATTGTATTATGTACTGATCTTGATTGCCTTTTCAGCCGTCTTTCTGTTTTAATTACAAATGTTTTCTTTTCTCTCTACTCTGCCACCAAAAGAGTCTTTGGCTGCTCCTGACCTCAGCAAATCAAGAGGTGACTTATGCATGCCAGTTGTTCATTGATACTCACTAAAAAACATTGGTAAAATTTGACCCAAGGCTGACTTGCTTCACTTGTTTGCCGCAGTAACTAAGTCCAGAGCTGTTTGTATGCTGCATTCTAAACACGTCGCCTCGCCTGTGTGTCAGAGGAGTTCCGTAATCCTTGCCGGGGGGGGGGGGGGGGGGGGGGGGCATTCCCACATCAGGAGGTTTTTTAAAAAAATATAGCCTAAAATGATCCTTTGTCCTTGTAAAAGTAACAAAAACTGGTTGATCAAAATTGTGCTCTGTTTTTCAGTGTCGGATTGCATTTTGCTTGATTTGGAGGCATGCTTTGTTACATACTTATATTAATGTCATTCGTAGTTTTTAGTATAAAGCTTATATGATTATAAAGGAATTTTTTTAAATGTTAGCATGTTAAAGATAACTTTTACTACCTTAAACAGTTGCATCAAGCGTTTAAAGGACCAAACTTCTTCACTGTGTCCTGAGCCTGAACAGATACCTTCATATAGAGCAGTGGGTTCTGAATGACGGGCAGGAGCTGAAGGGGGGTGATGGGAATCGCTTGTAGAAGAGCGCATGTCCTTTAGACGCTAGCACACTGCTTCTGTTCAGACTTGTTTTGTTTCCTTGAAAGTTAGGTCCCATTTGGAACTAGAGCCTAGTTCAAAGAGGTTGTCAAACTTGGAGGTGGGGGAGGCCCTCAAACAATGAGCAGAGGTTTCCACAGGGAAAAACCCGTGGGAAGCCTTTGCATTTGTGTGTGTTACAGTGAGCTCTTAGTCCACTCTCACAGTCTCTGGGGAGAAGAGACACTGAAATCTGTTCTCTTTTCTACCAAGGGTATCACTGGGATACATCGGATTGGATGCCCAGCGTTCCTCTACCAGATATACAAGAGTTCCCCAATTACGAGGTCATTGACGAGCAGACCCCTCTGTACTCAGCAGATCCAAATGCCATCGACACAGACTATTACCCTGGAGGCTACGACATTGAGAGCGATTTCCCACCACCACCAGAAGACTTCCCCGTGCCTGACGAACTGCCCCCCTTGCCTCCGGAATTCAGCGACCAGTTTGAGTCCATACACCCTCCCAGAGACATGCCCGCCGCAGGTAGTCTGGGCTCTTCCTCGAGAAACCGGCAGAGGTTCCACTTGAATCAGTATCTGCCCAATTTCTATCCCGTCGATATGTCTGAACCTCAAAAAGCAGGCCCCGGCGAGAACAGTACGTGCAGAGAACCCTATGCCCCCTACCCTCCAGGGTATCCCAGAAACTTTGAAGCTCCTCCTGTAGAAAACATGCCCATGTCTGTGTATACCTCCACGGCCTCCTGCTCTGATGTGTCGGCGTGCTGTGAAGCGGAGTCCGAGGTCATGATGAGTGACTATGAGAGCGGGGATGACGGTCACTTCGAAGAGGTGACGGTCCCTCCGCTGGATGCCCAGCAACACACGCAGGTCTGACGCTCAGACTCCCCCGCAAAGTGCCTGGACTTTAACGAACCTGGAGATTATTATATAAATGATCTTCCACATCGTTCTCTGCAGCAGTGCTTCAGTGCTTTTTTTTTTTTTTTTTTTTTTTTTTTTTTTTCCGTGAGCTAAAATGGGCATGGCTGCACTGAGTCACGCACCTCTTGACAAGTTAGCCATTTCCGGTGTCCAAACCTACTGTAACGCGAGGGGGATTTCCTTTGGCCGTGCCATTTCCGAACACCTGTGTGCATTTACATTGGTCTGTTAAAATAATGAAACGAAAAATCAGCCCTATCATCTTGTTAGCATGATTCATGTATTTATATAGATTTGATTTTAATTTTCCTTTTTTTTTTGTAAATTTTATGTACAGATTTGATTTTTCATAGTTTTAACTAGATTTTCAAGACATATGGTGCATTTGTTTTTGACCGAAATTTGGTGGTGTTAGCGTCATTACCTAGCACCCTGATTTTTTAATATAACCAGGGTTTCATTGTGTCCTCTTCCATTGAAGTATGACATTCCATTAAGACATTTCAGTATTAGTCCTTCATTTCTAGCTGTACATAGGAGGAGGAAAGATCTTCTACATGGACATGTCTTAAATGGGTTACTGTATTTTAGAATTATAAACATTTTTCATTACTGGAAAGTGTAATGGGGACCTTCTGCATACCTGTTTAGAACCAAAACCATCACGACACAGTTTTTATAGTGTCTGTATATTTGTGATGCAACGGTCTTGTAAAGGTTTTTACTGAAAACTACCATTAGCCAGTCTTTCTTACTGACAATAAATTATTAATAAAATACTTTAGTTTTACGGCCTGTTTTTCCTCTGGATTTAGACTCTCGTTCGGGATTCAGTTAAGGAGTTGACAGAGAAGGCTGGATGGATGTAGATGTTAGCTCTTTGTGGCCTTAAATGTGAAGGGTCCAGGTGCCCAACCAGGAGGTACTTACAGATGTAGCCACTAGGCGGCAGTACATGGCTACTCGAGCCTGCTCAGAACTACAGGTGGAAACAGAAAACTACGTTCTTTTATGTTTTCCAGCCAACACTTCAAGAAACTTTTACTCTATACATCTTCTCAGTATTTATTGGGTATCATTTAAAGGCTTCTATGGTCTTCACCTATGACTTCTATCAAAAACAAAGTAGAAAGCCTTTTATCTTCTGTAATCAAAGAACAACTACTTGTGTATGATTTAGTGTGAAATCAAGCTATTTTCCATGTGTATACAGTGAAATCCATCCATCCAACAAATATTTATTATCTACTATGTGTCAGTCAGGCATTCTTAGAACTTCAGAAAGATAGTTTTTTTCTTTATCAGATGAGACTAGATACACAGTCTAAACACCAGAGCTAGCTCTGATAACAAAAAACCAGCACGCTCATACCTTCTGCTATAACCACTTACAACTCTAAGTTGTTTTCTGTTTCCTGTTCATATTTTTAGGTCTCTATATTGTTTCTAGTCACTGATTTTTTTTTTTTTTTTTTTTTTTTTAGGAATTGTGTATTAATTCAGTGTGATGTTCGAGGAAGGCCATGTAACCTAACCCACCTCCATGTAGTTACATCCTAACTTTTGGATTAATCCACATACACGGTTCTCATTGTTTTGGTGGTATAAATATTCACTGCTGCGCTCAGTGTAGTATATGTTGTTTATTTCCATTTACTTTGCTACTTTCCCTTTTTCTGAAACAGTTGCCTGCCTTAATTTTTCTTTTTAAAATCTGTGACTATTTCATTAACTTATCCCAAACACATTTTTTGGTCACCTACTCTATGTTATTCTTCACGAAAAGACAAAAACTCCCTACCTTGTCCACTCCCTGTCCACGGCATAGGCAGAAGAGGATACCATTCTTATTTTTATGGCCCAGTGGCGCGAAGGGGGGAGGCTGCTGAAGACCACAGGTACCAGCTGCGTGGGGTGATGCCCAGGCTCCTCCCCACTGCCCCGAGGGCTGCACGGTCAGCATCTCGATGCGAGGAAGCTTTGGTAGAGAGAACTCTGGGAAATCCTGCTCTCCTCTTCCTGTGAGTTGTTTTCTGTGAAAAATAGTCTAGTCAGGAACTGGATCATCCTCACAAAATTAGCTTGAATTCCTATTGAGTTTTCAGTGACTTCATAGAAATGTAGCGGTTAGGTTTGTAATCTGTCAGACCTGGAAAAACTACCCCAACGCCCATCTACCGCCCCCAGTCTTTCTCCGGTTCCAGGTTCCCCTCTGCTTGCAATCTCTGCCTTCTCCCAGCCCACTGACTCGGCTCAGTAACTTTCTGAAGGTCAAAGTGGGCTGCTCATTCTCTTTTGCAGTCTGGTGTTGTGTACTTTCTGATCGCTCTTCATCAGCAGCATTAGGTTCAATTTCAATTAGTGCACCAGCTGAGAGCAAGTTATTCGTCAGAATCTCATTTCCTCACCAGCAGTTTACTGCCTCTACTGCAAACAGAATGAGTGACTCGGAAAGAAGGACAAGTAATTTTTTCCCCCCAAGAAAACCTCCGCTTGTGTGAACACTTAGGGAATGAATGCACTTGTCCCTGTGCTGTTAGAAAGTGTGGCCCTGGGAGAGGCTAGGTTTTCAAAGGATGCTAGACATAGAAAACGTGTAACATTTGAATCCAGAGGTCACTGGACCAAATAGATCCTACAAAGAGCTACGAGTACAGGGTGTCTGTAGGCGAGATGACAAAGAGGAACTCCGTGATTCTAAGCCAGAGCCATTATCCAGTTGTCTCAAGGGGTAAAAAGAAATTCTCATAATGTCTGATGACGATTGCTTCAATTCACTGTAATGTTTGTAGATGCCACCTAACAGTTTTAGGATAAGGGAAGAATATAGGAAGAAGAACAAATCATCCACGCCGATGGTGTGTCACCCTCCTCCCGGCTGTCAAAGACTTAGAAGCACAGCCCCACTTCCTTGCCAAATACAGAATACTAGCCCCCTGCAGACGAGGATTGCAAACATTTTTCGACAATGCTCTCGTGATTTGTGTTTTTATTTATTTTAATTTTTTTTTATTTTTTTATTTTTTTGTGATTTGTGTTTTTAAATAATTACCTTAAATGAGTCTTTTTCTCTTCTTTCAAAGGTAATAATACTTTAAATAGATGCTTCAAGATAAGTTGGAACAAAATAAAATTTTATTTGTAGACTTTACTAAAATTTCTTTAAACCGAATGTGTAAAATGTACAAAGGTTCTCCAACTAAAAAGCTCTTACTGGCTTGAGATCGTTTTTAATAATGATCTCAAATGCTGAGTTTTTACTTCTAATGGGGAATTTCACAAGATTTAAAAATACCCTCCGGTCATTGAAAACTGTGGTCTGACCTTTAATTTCTGTGCCATAATTTTGAGTCACACTGGGGTTCTGGGAGATATCCTCACAATGAATGTCAGAGCTGGGTTTGGTCTTTGCTGGATTAACAACCGCAACAAACACTGATGTCTGCACCATGCTTTTATTCTAAGAGCTGTGGCTACGTAATCCTTAAGACCGACCACCGTGTGTGTGTGTCGGGGGGGAGTATCTCTTATCATTGTTTGCATTTTATGTAAGAGAAACATTTGTCTGTGACGAAGCTGGCAAGCAGTAAAGCCCCATTCGACCTTGGGGGTCTGAGGCCAGAGTCCACCCTCCTGACCAGGACCTGCTGCCCCACCCAGCAGATGCCCTGCTTCCCTCAGGCAGGGCATTCCAGGATCAGACCGCAGTCCCCACTGCCGCTTAGGTAGCTCTGCAACCTTCGGGTTTGGTTTAACTCCACTGGCGGGAAGGCACCATTTTAAAACCGTGGAGCCTCAGGGTATACTCGCAAACTCCCATGCCTTCCAGCATGGGTGGCAGGTGGAGACTGCTGGCTTCTGAGTCACAGACCTCAGTTCAAAGCTGCGCCCTACCACTCGTTAGCTGAATGATGTTAAACCAACTACTTCTAGTTAGGTTCCTCTACTGAAAAGGAGCGACTAATAAATACCCTACGGGAGTTCTGCGGAATCAAACCAACAATCTAAATGAGGGTTCTTAGGAGAGCTTATTACATTCCAAACGTTCTGCAATTATAACTCTGAATCCCTCCAGTGACCCTCATTATTCCCACTTTCCAGATCAGGAAACCCAGGCGCTAGGTAATTTTCTGAAGGTCACTCCACAGGTCAGTGTTGGGACTGAAATTCAAAGCCCTGATTCTGGTCTCAAGGCTCCATCCCCCAGGCCTTCTTTCTGAAGTGTCTCTGAAAGGAACCAACCCGCAGACGGCGAAGTTCCTCACACCAGCTTTCTGGCACAAAGTCAATGTTCACCAAATGCTTTAACTGCTGTTACTGTTTCCTCCCTCACTGCCATCCCAATCTTCAAATAGGTATTTTAATAGTTTACTTTTAAAATGTATCATATGAAAGTTTCATATTTTTAGGGGGGAGGGGCAGAGGGGGAGGAGGAGGAAGAATCCTAAGCAGGTTCCATGCCCCGAGCAGAGCCTCACGCAGGGCTCAATCTCACAACCCTGAGATCACGACTTGAGCCGAAATCAAGATGCTTAACTGACTGAGCCACCCAGGCATCCCTGAAAGTTTCATTTTCTTAGTGCCTTTATAGAACATGCGATAATTCCAAGAAGCTTGCTAACCTAGTTTAGATTTGACTAATTGCCTCCAAGCCAGGAGAGGTTTGGCCATTTGCATCTTGGTTGTTTTCCACTAAGTCCGTGCATTCCACATTGGAGACTGGCTGACGTGGGTGCAAGTGAAGTCTCAGGACCCACTTCCGCTGTGCATTCATCCAAAAGTTGTTCCTGAGTATCTGCTCTAAATGAAGGCCAGAAGCATCATGTTTGCCATTCGGTGAAGGACGAACAAGACTAAGTCCGACCCTTAGGAATGAGATGAGTGTTCAGGGTCACGTTTACAGCTTCCTACCTACCCTGTGTCTTATTTTTCCACCTGCTCCATTTAACAAGATAAAAAAATGCTCTCCATTCACCTGGGATTCAGAGAGTGCTCCTGAGGCTCAAGTGCCCCTCCTCACACTCTGCCCCTTGCCTCCACCCACCCACCCACCCACTCATTCACTCATTCGTTCGTTCATTCGCTCAGTTCAAATTATTGTCCGGGTTGCATTAACAAGTATCGGTCTAGTCCACCCTCTGCTACATCCTGCTCGCATAAAAGTGAAAACTTGGCTCACGAGCAGTCATGCGGCCTTTCAGAAAAAGAATTTCAGTGTGGTCAGGGGCTGTGGGCTACGCAGAAACGTACCGAATAGAAACTGACCCACGAAGCTGAACGCTCCTTCTCCCAACGCCTCAAACACCAGAGTATGTCAAGGCGGCAACAGCAGGCGCACGTTTGGAGGTAACAGGGTAAATCAAGAGCAGAAACTTGCTAGCGACTTCAGGGTTTTCTGCACGTTGCCCCGAAGCTGAAGAAGCGTGATCTGACTCTGTCGCGTTTGACTGTACAACCTCGGCAGGGACCGTAACGGGGGGGCCAGGGGATTGTCCGTCAGCGCCTGGCAGTGAACGACGGCACAACAAACCCAGCTTCGGCCCGGGGCTGCCGACGCTCGTGCTCCACAAACGCCCCGCGAGCACGCGCGGCGCCTCTTCTTCAGCGACGAGGAGCACGGGCGCGGGGCCGATGCGCGCGCCCTCCAGCCGGGAGCGCTCGCGCAGCCGCAGAGCGGGAACGGGGAGCTCCGCTGGGTCGCCGCGAAATCACCCGTAGCCTGGCGGAGCGCTCGCGTGTGGCGGGCTCCGTTCCCGGAGGGGCCTCGCCCAGCGCCCAGGCGCATGCGCGCGCGCGGCCGTTTCAGAGGCACCCCCTCCCCCCGCCCCGCGGCGTGTGGTCAAACCTCGCTCACACAGCCGTTCTTTCTGGGTTACTCGTGTTCTGACTTCCTGCAATTTCTCACACGTGCTCAGTCAGTGTTTGCCCTGAAATCGCTCGCGGAACGCAGGCCCGGGTCCGGATACGAGCGGGTGGAGAACCCCTGGAGAAACAGGATCCCCACGCAGATCCAAGGGCCACAGCCCCGGGCGCGGGCTGGATGGAAGAGGAGGGCTCGGCCGGCCGCGAGGAACTCAGGGCTCCCAGCAAGGGCCACCGGACGGAGGCCGAGCCCGCGTCCTTGACGACTCCGCAGGTGGCGTTGCCCAGGGAGAGTCTTCATGACTGTCGTCTGTGCGGAATTCTGCGTGTGGGGGTGTTTGCGCCTTTGCACCCATTTTGTCGTCATTGTTTTTGAGTACGGCAGGCCGTGTGCAAGTCTGTATCTTTGCCTCTCGCACCTTCTCCTTAGATGACAGAAGAAAAAAAAAGGTGTTCTAAGGTATTTCGCTCTTGTGTTAATTTTTCCGAGGGTGGCAAGTAAATTTTTAAAAAATGAATGAAGCAATTTCTCACCTTTCCTTGGAGAACAGAGCCCTCTCCACCCCTCTGCACTGACCTCGCTCCCTGCCCTGCACATTTTTTTTTTTTAAGATTTTATTTATTTATTTGAGAGAGAGAATGAGATAGAGAGAGAGAGAGCATGAGAGGGGGGAGGGTCAGAGGGAGAAGCAGACTCCCCGCCGAGCAGGGAGCCCGATGCGGGACTCGATCCAGGGACTCCAGGATCACGACCTGAGCCGAAGGCAGTCGCTCAACCAACTGAGCCACCCAGGCGCTGCCCTGCACATTTGATAACGGCGTTCCCCTCTTTTTCAGATGGCGCCACACCCATCTTTTCTGCCTATCTCCTTCTATATTCCTACAGTTTGGGGGGGAAGTTTCCTTATTCATTCATTCATTCATTCATTCACTCATTCATTCAGTTTTATGCAGCTTTCCCTTCCTCCCTACTACTGGAAATGTTATAATACACACTTTGGAACTTGATCGTGAATTGACTGGCATTTCTCTGCCTTCTCAACTTGCCTCCCAAAGACCCAAGAAACACACGAGCATGGTGCCTCAGACCATAGCTACCCCTGGGGTCTGCACAGGAAGCCCCTGAGTCAGGAGGGGAGTCTCAGGACTTTCTGGCCAAACCACCCCTCACTGGCCAGTTCCCATTCCAGCTGGTCTGTTCTCATACAAGCACCTACCTTTCCCTTTACTCCACTGATTTCCAGCCGAAATCATGGGGTACATTTATTTTATAACCCCCACCATGGTGCGTGTAGTTACTATTCTGTTGGGTATTTTTACACACATCCCCAAGAAAACTTCAACTATTCCTAATAATCCTTGAACTATTTATTTTCTTCTGCAAGCAATATTTCTCGTGTCTTAGTATGAAATGAAACTGTGAATTACATAAAGTAATGGTAAAGAAGTTATTTCTTTAATGGCATATTTAGCTCTTGACATTAGGATACAGGTACATTTAGTGAAAATATATATACTCTAAATAAAATTTAAATTCTTGTGTTGTTTTACATCTTCTGGAGTACTTAACTGCAATGTTCTTCTTAGAGCAGGCCAGGAAATAAAACCCATATTGTCTATTATAATGCAACATAAAAATTCTTTGAAAAACATACTTCCTCCCTCTTGTTATTAACTGGAGAAATATAGAGAAAATGTCTCATTACTTGAGGGTGACAAATGCATTAAAAATCCATTAGTCTGACAAATAGCAGTTTTTTTTTCTGATAAATTAGAAGTTTCCAAATATGATGAAAGACATAATTTCATGGAAATTACATCATCTTAAAGCCAGCAGGCAATAATGGAATCATTTATTTTCTCATTTTATTCAACAAATAATTGTTGGTGTCTACTGCAGGCCAGATGCTGTGCTCAGTCTTGGGGATGAAACAGAGAACAAGCCCCAGGCCCAGCTTAACAGCCTTGTGGTGGGATTCCAGCAAGAAAACAGGTACAGTATGGCTTGTGGTAAGTATTCGGTTACAGGGCATACTGTGATCTGCAGAAGCACAAAGGAGGAAAGCATAAGCAAGATGTGGGGCCTGACCTCATGGGGAGAGCAAAGCGATTCCAGAGAAGGGTGTGGAAGGAGCATTTCATGCAGAAGGAATGTGTGGGAAACAGGAAATGGGTAATAGGGTGTTTGAGGAATGGGAGAAAGTTCAAGTGTTGGAGGGTGGACCAGATGCCCTGGCTGAAGGAAAGGATGGTTAGGAAGGTCAAGGCTGGAAAGGCCAAGGTCAAGGAGCAAGGGGCATCATTGAAGGGTGGCCGCTCCAGTCTGAGTTAGCCCTTGTCTGTTGGGCTGCTTTGAGTGGACTCCTTATGTGTGTGGTTTTGGACACCACTCACTTTCTGATGGGGGCCGTCAGAGTCTGGGGAATCCACCCCCTTGGCTCTTTCCTTTTGGGGATTTCCCATTCTTTGCCTATTCATGGTTTCCCAGCTTCCCTTTCCTCATCCCCAGTCAGAAACACTGTGGGGTTTTCCATATGCACCCCCCCCCACCTCATTGTGTGGGGGAGAGAGAGAGCCATCTATGCCACTCTGTTCATCTATTGATTACATTGATTTATCAAAACCCCAATTATAGGAGGTTTAGGTTTTAAATGTTACAACCAATGCTGTGAGGAACAACCACATGTGCATACACATTTGAACATGTGTCCAATTATTTTCTATTAGTGGAATTACCGGGTCAAATGAGTATGCAGTTTTAAGACTTACATGTAGTGCACAGGAATGCTTTTTCTCAGATTTTAATATTTTTTTGATCACACTTGGAACTACCATTCCTCTTAATATTTTCAAAAGTGGTAGCTGGAATGGTAACTTCCCATACATTTGATTTTTGTTTTCTCAAAGAGAGGTTGCATGTGTGTTTTTAGTTTTTAATTCTCTAATTACATCCTTTAAATATATTTCTATCATTTTTCTTATTTGAAAAAATCCTCTATATAATTAAGGTCATTGATACTTTGTATGATAGGATGCAAATCATTTCCCTGGTCTATCTGGCTTTTACTTATTCATGGCATTTTTTTTTTTAAGACAGAAGAACTTTTAACTTTCATGCAGTCAAATCTATCCTGGCTGAGAAACACTACCTCTGAATCACAAGGGTGGATGCTTTGGAGCCTGAGATACCAAAATACAAATCCTGCCTCTACCCCTTATTAGCTGTGGGCCTTTGGTGCACCACAAGACCTTCTAGAGCCACCAGTCTCTCGTCCCATAAAATACTCCTAGCAATGCCCAACCTTTTAGGACCACTAACAGACTGTGTGGGATAATGCATGGAGAATACTTATTCTAGAGCTGGAACATGCTAAATGTGCAGCAAACAGTAGCTACTACTGTTCTTTCTATGGTTATGAGTATTTTCTGTCGTATCTTCTTTTCCATGCCAGAGTTCTTTCCACACCAAGGTTACATAAGTATTTACCTACATTTTATTTTGTTTTTTAACATATTTTATTTTTTTACCTACATTTTCTTTAAATGAATCTTTGTTTTTATATTCTAACCCTCCCCCATTAACTTTATCAAACCTTTATCTTGTATTATCTTCAATTGTTGAAGACATTCACATGCTTTCGGTTATTGTAACTTTTAATGGATGTTTTAATATTGGCAACTAACACCCTTTCCCCCTCATTTATTCAAATCCTTTTTACTACACTTTCTTTCAAGGAACTTCACGACTTTTTTTTTTTTTTTAATCTCTATTGGTATTTTTGTTGGGCTGGCAAAAAGTATTTCGGAAATTAATTTTCAGGCTTTCAATCCAGGAACATGGTGTGTCTCTCCCTTTGTAAAGTTTCTTTCATGACTCTCAGTGAAGTTTTGAGTTTTTTAAAAAAAATTTTACACATTGCCCTGCACACTGCTAATGAGGCCAGTTTCTAGTAATTTTACACTGATTACTATTATATATCAGATCTGCTCATTATGTGCTCTCATTTTTCCTGGAATTTAAGAAAGTACATACACTCCTATCTGCAAATATTGATTTTTACATTTTTCTCTTTTAATATCATCTCATTATCAGAAACACAATGCTAAATAGGTGTGATGTTAGCAGGCATTACTTCTTCCCAACTTAAAGGAAAATAATCCTCTCATTTCTCTTTTAAGTCTAAGATAGACATTATTTTGAAATATTCTTTATAGTATTCACTCTGTTCTTATTGAAGTTATAGAGACTTTTAAAAATTGGGAATGGATAGGGAATTTTTAAATCCATTTTAGCATGTATTAAGATGATCGTGTGGTTTATCTCCTTTGATCTATCCATATGGTAACTTATTTTAATATATTTTATGCTCTACAAACCCTGGGTTTCTGGAATTAACCCCATTTGGCCTTAATAAACTATTTTTGTAATAATTGTTTATTTCTAGCATATAAGGACCTTAGAAGTCACCACTCCATTCTAACTGCAAGTAAGAAATCTAAACAAGAGGAAAAATCAGCAACTCTTCCTAGAGCCATAAGAGAAGTGAGGGCACAGGCAAACGAATGCCCCCAAAATTGAAGAGAGAGACAGGTGGATACAGAGAATCACAACTCAGCAGAGCAGAAACCCACCAGCTGCAACAGGAAAATCTGAACTGTAATTGAATTAGTAGAGGCTCAGTGTGGACAAGTCTGAGAGTTAAAAATGCCGGAAGGACTCAATTACAGAGGGCCCCCACACTTCTGTGAGTTTACCTCCGGGAGTCCTTCCAGGCCTTCACAGAGAGTATCACAGAAAAATTCTCTACCGCTTCCAACAGGCCAGGGAAAAAAACATTTCGAGATAGGCCAGAGCATTCTGTTCTTCTTAA